CAAATATTTTTTTTGATTGGGGGGGAGGGGGGCAAATTTCCAAAACAGCCCCTCCTCTACACTAATTTTTTTTTTTTTAGGGTGAGCTAAGCACGGATCCGCCCATGATTTAATCCCACTACATGAGATAGACATAAAACGATCATGCAACCAAGTAAAATAATTTGAAGAAAAAAATATATTAAACGAATCAAAATAGTGTTCGCAGATCAATATAAACCAGACTCGTTTAATAAAGCGGTCAAAATTCCAAATTCGAACAACATGTCAAAATTTGTTATTCGAATCAAGCCTGTCTGTTAAACAGGTCAACCCGAATTAGATACAATGAAAGAATAAATCTATTAATTGCAAGATAAGAGTTTATAATGTATATAATTATTAATAAAGTTAGAGCAAAATCTCTATATTATACATAAAAATAAAAAACGAGCAACTAATAATCTTAATTAAGCTAATAATGTTATACTCACATTCACCTTAACTTGCTTTCATAATAAGATAGCTATGTTGTCTTATAATATCATTAATTGGTTGGCCACTTGGAAGTTAGGTTGATCTAAGTTGACTAAATAATTGGCGTTGGTCAACCTTCAAGGACACCATGGTCAACACACCAAACCAAATACAATTGACCACATGGTCTGATATTTGACTCACGTGTCAACCCAAAGGGACCCACTCACATACATCTACCCCCTTATTATGGAGAAATTATTATATGGTACCACCCGACAATCCAAAGACCAATCAGGACGAGCCATGTCATCCAATACACAGTAGTACACGTTGTATTGGTGATGTATCGAGTCCTAATTGACCTCCGGACAGCGTGCGGTGACCACACGTAATAATTTCACCTTCTTTTGACTTTTTGACTAAGAAAACTTCGAGAAAAAAAAAATCTTTGTGGAAAATTTTTTGCCAGTTTGAGATTCTTTTCAATTGATTCAAATTTTGGAAGCAAAAAATCAAACTGAAATTTGAATGAACAATTATTTTTCAAATCAAATTGAATGAATTCGGTACAAAATGGGAAAAATGTCTGCAAATGATCAAATGGGCTCTTACTAATGTTGACTCGGGTAAAGAACCTCGTCAGCCATGGAATTTCATGCCAGGTTAGGGAGCCAAATTTTGAAAAAAAAAAAAAAATGCACCATATAAATTTAGATGACATTAGGGACAAATTTTTTCTTTTTTATAACAATTTTTTTTGCTATAAAGCTGATTTCTACAATAATTTTATAATCGTTTTTATAAAAAGCTGCAATCGTCCCTAATAGACCCTAAGTCATAGATAGAACGTATATTTGGAGTTGTTTTATTAAAGGCATTTTAAGAATTTTATTATTTTTTTGACTTTTCTAATATTTTCATTAAAAGAGATAATTATTATCTTATATTACTCAAGAGAAATTATGACTATTTTCTCCACAATTAAATCATAGTGAAATTCATCAATTAAATAAACAAGTAAAAAAAAAATGTTTGCATATTTGTGTGTATGTTCCTTTTGTTTATCTTCTTTTCTATTTATATTATAGTACTATTTTTCATTTCTAAAATGATTTTTTAGTACAAAAATTTCCTAAATTAAAAAAACAATAAAAAAATAATAAAAAAACTATCCCAAACAAAATCTTAGAACATTAAAGTATGTCTACGATCAAAATGAGGCGATCGAGCAAGGAAGAGTGGATGGCACATCTAGCAATTTTGTGTAAGTGATGAAAATGCATAGGGAGAGCAATTCTTTCATATCATCTAAACATTATTGTAAGCTGTTTGCTTTTAAATCTTTGCTCATAATGAGATTGACATGAAATCTCTCTCTCTACCAACCAAAGAAATGATGAATTTGAGGATTGCATAGGTTATGTATGTGTGGATTTATCTTAGGACGGCTTTCTTACTGTTTCTTAAAACAGCTTTCTAGCACATAAAATTAAATTTTTATACTAAAAAACTACTTTAAGAAGCAGTAAGAAAGTCGTCCCAAATGAAGCCTTAATTGACTTAAAAATCCTTAAAAAAAGTTATGGATGCAAATGTATAAATTCATGATGAAAATTGGAATTATAATTAGAAAATCATACTCCAAGAGGCCTAAGACCACCTACCTACTCGTTTGACAAAGCTGTCTCAGCCAGTTGGCAAAACAACTTAGCAGAAAGCGATTGCAAGAAGAAAAATACATTAGTTAGAAACTTTAACAAAGTCTTATCAATTAAGCTAATTATCACACACAAATGAATCATGACCATACAAACTATGTGATGAGCTATAATAAAGACAACAGCTACAAAAGGGGCTTGAGCATATGATGCCACGTCATCTTGCCACGTGAGAAATAATACTAAACATGATGATGATGATGATGATGATGATGAATGTTATCATTATCACATCATTCATTCGGCATCATGATAATAAGTTTGATGTATGTTACTGATAAGATCAGTAGCAGGATTAAATGAAATACATTAAAAAAATATTTTGGCTTTTATCATTAAGGAGCATATTAATTATTGCATTTTATAAAGTATTAAAGGTTTGTTTGAGATAGTTGTAGTGTTTTATGAAGTTATTTGTGAAATTGTTGTGGGTGAACTATCTTAGGCTTCGTTTGGGATGGCTTTTTTATTGCTTTTTAAAATGGAGTTGCAGTGTAAATTTTTTAATTTTTGTACTAAAACTCCATTTTCAGAAGCAATAAAAAAGCCGTCCCAAACGAAACCTTTGGGATGATTTTCTTACTGTTTTTTACAGTAGCTTTCTATTACAACTTTTTTTTTAAGAACAACGAGAATGTAGTGGTCAAAAATTGTCCCAAATGCAACCTTAGTTGTTCTAATTGCATTTTTCAACACAAGAATTTTTTTAGAAATTATGAAAAACCAGCGAAATATTAATAGAAAAATAAAATTATGATTATTTTAAGAGTAAAGCTACTAAAAAGAATAAGCTCAAATCCCCTCAAAGAAACACCTTGATATGTTGGTTCGAAGCTTTGGCTGTCAATAAAGAGATAAGTTATTACGTGTGGTCACCGTACGCCATCCAGAGATGAATAAGGGGGCCACGCCAACATTTTTTGTGTACCGGTGTATCCTGATTCGCCTCTGGACTGTCCAGTGATCGCACATATTAATATCTCCAATCAAGAGATCTTAGATTCAAAGCTTGCATATGTAATGTGCATGTAAAAAAAAAAACCTCAAATTAAAATTTAAAAAAAAAAAAGAATTTGGATGATTGCTAGCTATTTTCCTCACCTGGTATTCAATGGTGGAAGTACAACTTTGCTGACCTGGGAATGGAGACAAAAATATTTGTCGCCTTATTCTGATTGACAGTACAATTCACGAGATGGACACTTGGGGCTATAATAATAAAAACAATTATGATTATTATATATTCGGTATTAAATAACATCAAGAAAAATAATACAATCGAATTAAATTACAAATATTTCTCAAATAACTAGCATTTATATTTTGAAACCTGGAAGCATCCTCACAAAGCAAAAGATATAATGGATAAACTTTCAGATAGGAGAAGAGTTAAGAGACTTCAATAATGGTGATTATAAAGTTGCTTTAGAGAAACGCTTTGTTTAGGACGACTGTCTTACTGCTTTAAAACAACTTCTTAATACAAAAAACTAAAATTTTTGTATTAAAAAGCTGCTTGAAGAAACAGTAAAAAAGTCAATCCTAAACGAAGCCACAATAACTTTTTGTAAAATTATTGTAGGAAGCAGATTAATAGCATAAAATTTTTTTAAAAACAGTGAAGAAATAGTAGTCAAATAAAAACGATGGTTATTTTTCTAAAAGCAAATCAATAAAAAAGCTATCCCAAACGAAACATAAGAGTCTATTTGGACTACTGCAATATAATTGTAAACTCATCATAAAAATTTCTTGAAAGCAATATAAAACAGTTGTCAAAAATAAATATAATTAGAATATGAAAAGCAAAACAATAAGAAAGCTATTCAAAATAAAACCTAAACTATGATATGCTATTTGTATATACTATTTGAACATGTAAGATATTTTCATCTTGCATCTTGTCTATATAACATATGCCGACTCCCCAACACTAAATACGATGTCAGTTTTTTGCAGCAATAAAATATTCATACAGTATGAGCTCAAAAACAAAGCCTAACACAATAGCAGGTACATATAGCATGCATACTTTTGGCATAGGAAGGGTTATCCAAAAAAAAAAGATGAACAGTCAACACTCAGACACAACTTCTGCAAGGAATTCCTTACAGAATCTTATGAGCAATCAACTAATTATATTTGTTTTGCATTAAGATCTTCATTTTAACAGATCTTACTCATAACAAGATGCAAAAATAGCATAAAGGTTTTGTTTGAGATGGTTTTCTTACTGTTTTTTAAATCAGCTTTTAGTACAAAATTAAATTTTTTGTACAGAAAGGTCCCAAACAAAGCTAAAATCTCTATACAAAATGATCTGATAGGATTTAAAAGAGAAAAAATCTTATAGGATTTCTTTCCTTGGCATATCTATAACCCCCCATTTAATGACAAATTATTTTATGCGGAGTCCGAACGTCGTTCAGATACCAATAAAAATGTGTCGTGTCACCCCAAAAGTGTAATGCGCTCGATACCGAACGCGATACCGAGCCGTACCGAGCATCGGCACCGCTCGGTACCAAGCGGCACCGGACGGTTCTCCCGCCCAGTGTCCGCACAGAATAATCTCTCCCATTTAATTCACTAAAGCCTAATACCAACACAATTTGTGGGCTTATTTCAAAGTGTTTGTTTGAAGATTCCATAATTCCGATGAGGTCAAGAAGGTGAGTTCTATACAGCTGATTGAAACAGGTTTTTTCTTCGGACTAATTTGGTTGCTTTTAAGTAGAAAATATGCTTAAATATTGATGATTGTCACTTTAATTATCAACATAAAATCATAACTTTTAAGAAATATTTAAATAGATTTGTAGATTTTGAAATCAACGTTGATGCTAATTATATTCAGCCAAAAAATAAGTTTAACAAAATTTATCAATTTTTCAAAACAAGATTTCTAACTTCAAGGAACCAACTAAGCCATTAGTGACCTCAAAGTCTACTGCTTTCTGCACTTCTTACTGGAATAAAGGATGAGCCAAGAGAGAATCCAGAAAACAAAAGACCTATAGTGCAGTCAACATAAATGTAAATGGAAATTTATTGCACAATAATTTCGGTAGGTACCACCCTCCATATTATGCAGTGGACTCTAGATCATGCTGGTCAATACTAAGAGCAGCTTCTCCAAAGTAAAATACTATTCAGAACAGTAAATGGGTGTGACTGCACAGCTTTTACCTCAAGAGCAGCCAGATGTTGGTCAACAGCACTGAACAACTTTGTCCATGGCTGCCTGGTTTATCTACACCTGTGACAGAACAAGACCATTTCATTGGAAGGAGCAAAAATTGCAGCTTTTACATAGTTTATGATAAATTTTGGGATAAGATCTTCGACCAGGTCATCAAATTTTACAAATGTGTTAGGATAAGCATGAAATAACTTCAGGACATAAAACAGATAAACATGGATCAATAACTTTGTGAAGAAGAATACAATGAAATTTGTAAGATATCACTATCAAAATCACTTATTTGAAATGAAAAATCCATTTTGTAGAACTTATTTTTATCTTGAGGCAACCAGAGAAGCTCTTTGGGAATTAAAACCATCTTCTCCTTGGGAGTAAAGAGGCAAAATAAAAGTAAATGTACTAATTGATAACCACTTAAAATTAGTTATACAGGTAGTTCTTGGGGATCAATTATTTATGATTTACAAGCATGCTATCTTTTTAAACTGGCATCCTAAATATATACTATTTTTAGAAGGATTGTGAAACTTCTGCCATTTGTTTCCAAATATATTACTGCAGCAACCGATAAATCAAGGTAGAGCAACTCCCATAACAGAAAAATCTACAGCATAAATTCATAACAAAATTACAAATGTACAGTAAACATACAGTTATTCTGAAAAAAAAAAACAAAACAAAACTCATGTTATTGTCCACATTCAACTTTCAAGTTGCTTTGCTTCCTGAATATATTTTTGTTTTTTTGCTTCATATTTAACAAGAGCATATACGTGAAAAGGTTGGAGTTGCTCCAGTGGAAGATAAGATTAGAGAGAGTCGCCTTAGATGGTTTGGTTACATTAAACGGAGGCCTTCCGATGACCCAGTTAGGAACGTTGAGGTTTTAGATTTGACTTATGTTAAGAAAAGTAGAGGTGGACCTAAAAAGACTTGGTTAGAAAATATTAGAAATTATCTTTCTTTATTAACTTTAAATGAGAATTTAACTTTTAACATGACACAATGGCGAAAAAGGATTCATGTAGCCGACCCCACGTAGTGGGACAAAGGCTTATTGTTGTTGTTGTATTTAACAAGAAGACATGAATATGTACAAACCAAGTAGCTAGCAAAGAAAATTTGTTTCTCAGAAACATTACTATTAAAAGAAAGTTGCCGCATCAGGTAATTCTTGTTTGTAACAGAAAGAGCTAGAGAGATTACCATAAAGTAACAGGCTAGGAAAATTACTATAAGTAGTTCACTAATGAACATGCAAAATGCAAAAAAATGGTGCAAATCAGACCAGTCATGTCACATAGCCACAGCATCTTTTATGATACTCTGAACTGGCAGAGGAAAGAAAGGAAATATCTCAGTCAAATGTCTCCACCCTCATGACCAAATGATGCACTCCCAATTAAACTTTGCATCGATCTTCCAACAACAAGAAACAAACAAATATGCTTCACGTGAACATTAAACTCCCCAACTGTACCCACGAGAAAAAAAGTTGCATATAGAGGCAGTTTATTTTGACATGTGTTGGAAATGATTAGAGCAAGCACTACATATGGGTTTCATTAATATTAGTTCATGTGTTGTTTGTTCAAACTCAATTTCATCTTTATCCATCATCCATTTAATTTTATTATTTTACTGTTATCATTAAATATATTATTCTAAAAACTTTCATTATCAATTCCTAGCTTATATGAGAAAGATTAATGATTAATTTTAGGTCAACAACCAATAATTAGAAATGAATGTGAAAATTCATTAAGTAAATCCAAATCTGTAGTTTATTAAAAAGCTTATAGTTCACAACCAACTCATGTTTGTCGTGATAAGAATCTAGCTTTAACTCGGAGCTTAAGTAAACGAGTTAAGCTTGAGCAGATATTTTGAGCTAGCTTTTAAACAAGCCAAATACATAAAAAAAAATTTATGTTCAATCTAATTTGGCTCGTTAATGGTCAAGTGTATGTGCATGTATGTGTATACATTTTTCATTCTTATATTCCATCCATCGAATTTTATTCCAATTTTTTAGATCCAATCACTAGACACATAAAAGTTTAATTATTTAAATTTATTATAATCCAAGCCAATCACAAACATAAGGTTTTCAAATATAATCAAACGTCGGTCTAGCTTGAATAGAGAAAAAACCAAGTAAGTCATGCTCTAACATAGGCTAGACTCACTCAACTCGACTCATTTAGACTCTTCTTAATAGGAAGGTACTCATAAGTGGCACTGTGCAACTTAATCCAATTTTAGTAAAAGGTGGTAAGATTTGACTTTGTCTAAAATAAAGATTTGATTTGCTCAATGAAATTATGGATTTGGAATGAGAAAATGAGAATTCATGAATCAAATGATTACAACAACAACAACAACAACAACATCAAGCCTTTATCCCACTCTCTTTTAATGGCCAACATTCGGCACCATAAAGCATTGCAGGTCTCACTACCATCTTATAGAATTTTCCCTTAAGTTTGAGGGGTACATTTCTATCACATAACAAGCCCGATGCATTCCTCCACTTCAACCATCCAACTTGAATTCTGCTGATAATATCCCCATCTATTTCACCATCACTATGAACAATAGATCCAAGATATCTAAAACGTGTACTCTTATTAATGACTTGATCGCCCAAAGTCACAATCCCTCACTAGGTCTATTACTACTAAAATTACACTCCATATATTCCGTTTTAGATCTACTCAAGCGAAAACCTTTAGACTCTAAGATTGACCTCCATAATTCAAGTTTACCTTCAACTCCCTCTCTAGTCTTATCAACAAGAAGAATATCATCAGCAAAAAGCATACACCAAGGTACATCCTCTTGCAAATGTCTAGTGAGAACATCCATGACTAAAGCAAAAAAATATGGGCTTAAGGCTGATCCTTGATGTAACCCAACCGAAATAGGGAAATACTTGGTCAATCCACCTTGTGTTTGAACACAAGTAATAGCTCCTGCATACATATCTTTAATGATTTGAATATAAGCATTATTGACTCCTTTCTTTTCAAGAACTCTCCATAGCACTTCTCTTGGAACTTTATCATATGCTTTTTCTAAATCAATAAATATCATATGTAGATCCTCCTTATTTTCTCTATATTTCTCCTTATATATGATTTGAATATAAGCATCCTCTTGCAAATGTCTAGTGAGAACATCCATGAATCAAATGATTAGAAGAAAAAAAAAAGATAGAGTGTGTTAAATTAAGTATATTAGCACTAAAGATATTACAAACATAATTAGTGCTTTTATAGTCCACAAGTTGCATTAGAGATAGTTTGAAAAATTAATTTAATGAACTATTACAACATACACCTAAGAAAATGAGATAATAATTTAAGGTACTTAAATGGGTATGAGTAAGAGAAGATTCTAGTAGGATGGGGGTAAGAAGATTTATTGATATACTCAAAATATGAAAATGAAATGTGATGGAGAAACTACTCTAAATTTTAAAGTAGCATGTGGTTTTACAAAGTGGAGAGGTTTTAAAGAAAAGGAAGTGAGGAAAAACAATAGTACCTGATGATATTCCAATAGAAGTGTGGAAATACTTTGGAGATCAATGAATTTCTTGGCTTACTAAACTTTAATATAATTTTGAAAACTAAAAAGATGTCAGCTTAGTACAAAAGGAGTATGTTGGTTCTTTTTTTTAAAATAAAATTAATAAATTAAAATTATGGGAGAGTATAACTAAGCACAAGTTACGACGTGATACTAATGTTTTTCAAAACCAGTTTGGATTATGTCAAGTTAAGTCTACTATGGAAGTTGTACATTTATTGAAACGTTTGATGGACACATATAGAGAAAGCAAGGAGAATATATATATATATATATGATATTTATTGATTTAGAGAAAGTGTACGATGAAATTTCAAGAGAAGTGCTCTTGAGAGTTCTAGAAAATAAAAGAGTTAATAATGCTTATATACAAGTCATTAAGGGTATGACTATAGAAGATGTTATTTGTGCTCAAACCTAAGGTAGTTTAACCAAGTATTTTCCTATTTAAGTTGGATCGCAACAAGGATCAACATTAGGAACATATCTTTTTTCCTTGGTCATGGATATTCTTATTAGACATGCAAGAGGATGCAGCTTGGTATATGTTTTTGGTTGGATGTTCTTCTTGTTAATTAGACTTGTTGCCTTATGGAATATTTGTGGCAATAGAGAAATAAGAACTTTAGCGTCCTAACTTTGTACGAAGATCCATCACACAAAGGGATGAAAGATAGAGGTGTAACGTTCATAAGAGACACCAAAGTTTTTATAAGGAAACAACTGAAAATGATAAAAAACCATGGGGCATTGCCTAGTTTAAATGAATCCACTAGTGTTTGCAGTTGATTATAAATCAGGCCCTTCCATGGGGGGAAGGCATTGACTTGATGTAACAAATATGCATTATATAGAGTGCATTACATGGTGGGAGTTGGAAGAATCGGTGTTGACATGTTCATTTGGTCGACAAGACAATATTCGACAAGTAATGTAGGTCGGAAAGACCGTAGTCGGCAAGAAATGTAGATTGGAAGGATCATAGTCATGCGACGGTGGTTAGAAGGACCGTAGTTGGCCAACGAAGGTCGAAAAGACCATAGTTGGCGGGCGACGGAAGTCGGAAAGACCGTAGTCAGGTGACGGTGGTCGGAAGAATCGTAATTGGCGGGAGACGAAGATCGGAAGAACCGTAGTAGGCTGACGGTGGTCTGAAGGACCATAGTCAAGCAACGGAAGTCGGGGAGCGACCGAGGTCAAAAATGCCGTAATCGGGTGACGATGGTCGGAATGACCATAGTTGGCGAGCAACGAAGGTCGGAAAGACCATAGTCGACTGACAGTGGTTAGAAGGATCGTAATCAGGCAACAAAGGTCCCGAAAGATCGTAGCCGGTGAGCAACGGAGGTCAGAAAAACTATAGTCGGGTGACGGTGGTTGAAAAGACCGTAGTCGGCGGACGACGGAAATCAAAAAGAACATAGTCGGGTAAAGGTGGTCGGAAGGATCGCACTGAGGTG